TGATCTGAACATCTCCACGCTGCTTCGGGACAGCGGCTGGGCCAGCCGAGTGGCGAGAAGGTCAAGTTCAACCCCAGCAAAGTGGCACAACCCAGGGCAAAATTTGACCTGCATGTAAAATCGTGAGGGTGTCTGCCATTCCGGCCAGCCATGTGGACCTGGCTAAGGAGAGTCCAGCTTTCACCAGGGTCTAGAAACCAAAGCCGTGGAGATGGGTGTGGTGAGAGATAGAAAGAGACCTGCGCCCAACAGCTAAGGAGTCGAATGCAGGGAAACCTGGAGGGAGCAGAAGATTGTGCCCCCAGTGTCACAGGGAGCATACACATCTCTACCGCTGTGCATGGCCCCTGTGATCTCCTCTAAGGGCAGAAGACATGATGTCGGAAACAGCTCCCCCGCATACACCCACTGCCTCTCGGCCATAGCCCATGTTAAAAGAGTGGCTGGATCAGGCTTTCAGCACCTGGTTTGGATCTCACTGCAGCAGTCACCAAAGCCTGTGCAGTGCCAGGTGAGGGAGTGAGCTGTGCGGGGTTGCGTTGACACAACTCCATGACTAGTGCAGATCCCGCCGGAGAAACAAGAGCGGGCCCAGGTGTGCGATTCACTTACCTGCATGGCTGGAACACACCAGCAGCAGCCCCAGCAGGACAATGCAGGATCCCTCCATCTCCTGTGTCCTCGAAGCGTGACTGGGCTGAAATAACAACACGGCCGGGCTCTTATGCCTTTGAAGGGAGCAGCAAATTGCTTGGATCAGCATGAAGGTGCTTTCACTGCAAAACGGAAACCACAGAGCCACAGAGAGTAGAACCGTGCACAGAGGAGATGCAAGAGAAGGCGGGATGAGGCCAAGTCTAACAGCAGAGTCCGTGCTCCATCGTGCTCATCGCCTGTCCCCGCTTCAAGGACTTGGGAAAACAGAGCCCCCATGGTGCATTCCCCTTGGGAATGAGTTTGCAGGGTCTCAGCTCACTTCCTTATGTACAAGTAAAGCCAGGGCAGATGCCAGGGCCTGATCATCTTCCTGCACGTTTGGGCAGGAAGGGGAGCAGAGGTGGAGAGCAGGACGTCTGTTGTGTAGTGTGGAATTGGGTGGTCTCCCTTTAAGTAATTTGTGAGCCCTCGAGTGGTGCTCACTGGGTTCTAGGTTTTAGAATCCAGCCAGAGCAACAGTATGTGTGTGCATGTAACAAGGCCCTATATGTTGGGTGTTGTTAGTAACATGGTTATTTGGCTAGTGTGCCAGTTGTTTCTTTGTGCTATTACTGTTGTGTAAAGAGCAAAGTACACAACTGCCTGTGTTGAGAGGGTGTCATGCAACATCCAATAAGCAGCCTTGATCCCTGGTGAGCCGGAGGCCCCCAAGCACCAGGCTTCTGTTGACTCCAGAACCCTGATGGCTGCTCACCTGCGGCGCGCTCTGCACCTCCGCTGGGACTGAGTGGGCTGCATCGGGAATGCACGGCAGTCGGGCTTTGCCCTGGAGGTGACTGGGACGGGCAGCTGGTGAGATGGAGGTTTGTTTATGTACCTGTCCAGCTCCAAGTTCAGAGCCACCAGACCCCCTGGATGCCCCCCACATCTCTTGGTGTGTAACTCAGACATGGATCTGCCTTGGTCTGGGGAAGCAAAGTTTGGGAGATGTTTGCTGTTTCTTTAAGTCCATCCAGCATCCATCTTAGTTCCTCTCCTTGCCATCTCCAGAGGCACCAAGGCCCCCAGGGAGAACCCACAACTGGGCACGACCGTTTTCCAATGAACCTGGCAGAGCCTGCGGCTGGGTTTTTGTTTTGCTCTGTTGAACTTTGCCATCAGTTTGAAAGTTTCCCCCTCCCTGGCAGATACTACAAACCAGCAAGGCTCAGCTGGGATTCCCACCCCGCTCCCATGCAAAACCACCACAGACCTCTAGTCCACCAGGTTCTCTTTTCTTTGAATGGCTCCTGGCACTAGAACTGGCATAATGAGGCTGTGAAACTTACGGCCACAAGATACTGACGAGGTCAAGAGCGAGGGGCTGTAAACCCCCCTGCTTCAAGAGGTAAACCAACCTCTAACCCAGGGGTCGGCAGTCTTTCACAAGTGGGGTGCCAAGTCGTCATGTATTCACTTTAATTTAAGGTTTTGCGTGCCAGTGATGTATTTTAATGTTTTTTAGAGGGTCTCCCTATAAGTCTCTATATTATATAACTAAACTATTGTCGTACGTAAAGTAAACAAGGTTTTCAAAATGTTTAAGAAGTGTCATTTAAAAATTAAATCAAAATGCTGATCTTACGCTGCCGGTCCGCTCAGCCCGCTGCCGGCCTGGGGTTCCATTCACCTAGGCCGGCAGCGGGCTGAGCGGGGCTGGTGGCCAGGACCCCAGACCAGCAGTGGGTTGAGTGGCTCAGCCCGCTGCCGGACTGGGGTTCTACCCTGCTGACTCCTGCCAGACGGGGTCCCAGCTGCTGGCCCCTCTCAGCCCGCTGCCAGTCTGGGATCCCGGCCCTGCCCACGTAGAGTGGGTACCTACCTTCTCCTTGGTTCTAGCCATTCTCTTCCTCTCTCTCTGCACTGAGCCGAGGGTGGGAGTGCACGGAGTACAGGGCTGGGGGTGAAGGAGCAGGCTGGGGGTTGGGGTGCAGGGTATGGCCAGGAGCTAGAATGAGGGAGGGGGCTCAGGGTTGGGGCAGGAGGTTTGGGTGTGGAGTGCTTACCTGGGCAGCTCCCATTTGGTGCAAGGGGAGCAGGTGGGAATGTGGGGGGTGCAAAAGTCAGGGCATGGGGGGTGTAAGAGTCAGGGCAGGGGGCTGCGGGTGTGTGAGGAGGGTACAGGAGTCAGGGCAGAGGGCTGGGGGCATGTGAGGGGGGTGCAGGAGTCAGGGCATGGGGTTTGGGGGGGGCTAGGTGTGTGTGGGGGGTGCTGGAGTCAAGGCAGGTGTGGTGGGGGGTGCAGGGGTCAAGACAGAAGGCTGGGAGTGTGTGTGGGGGGTGCAGGGGTCAGGGCAGAGGGCTGGGGGTGTGGGCTGGGGTCATGGGGGTGATCCCAGACCCCTGCCCAGAGCGGCTCAAGGCAGGTGGCTGGAGGGGATATGCCCTGATTCCACCCGCTCCTCTCCTCCCTCGCAAGGGCCATCAGCTGATGGGGGCAGGAAGGGAGGGGAGGAGGGGCAGGACCCCAGCAGGCTGGAAGAGGTGGGGGAGGGGGAGAGGAGGAGGGGCAGGAACCCAGCACGCTGGGGGAAGAGGCAGGGGAGGGGGGACCTTGCCTGCCCTGCAGCAGCAGCCGGCAGGACCAAGCTTCTTCACCCTGCCCCCGCAGTGGGGGGGGGAGGGGGCGGAGAAGAGTGGGCCGGGGCAGGCAGGATTTTTAATGGCAGGCTGCTGCCTGCCGGGGTCCCGGTCTGGGTTCGGCAGCGGGCTGAGCAGGGCTGGTGGCTGGGACCTGGCAGGCAACAGCGTGCCATTAAAAATCAGCTCACGTGCCGTCTTTGGCACACGTGCCATAGGTTGCCGACCCCTGCTCTATACGATGGCAATTAGAAAAGATGACTCCATAACTTCCTACTGTATAGATAGAATCATAGAATCATAGAATATAAGGGTTGGAAGGGACCCCAGAAGGTCATCTAGTCCAACCCCCTGCTCGAAGCAGGACCAATTCCCAGTTAAATCATCCCAGCCAGGGCTTTGTCAAGCCTGACCTTAAAAACCTCTAAGGAAGGAGATTCTACCACCTCCCTAGGTAACGCATTCCAGTGTTTCACCACCCTCTTAGTGAAAAAGTTTTTCCTAATATCCAATCTAAACCTCCCCCACTGCAGCTTGAGACCATTACTCCTCGTTCTGTCATCTGATACCATTGAGAACAGTCTAGAGCCATCCTCTTTGGAACCCCCTTTCAGGTAGTTGAAAGCAGCTATCAAATCCCCCCTCATTCTTCTCTTCTGCAGGCTAAACAATCCCAGCTCCCTCAGCCTCTCCTCATAACTCATGTGTTCCAGACCCCTAATCATTTTTGTTGCCCTTCGCTGGACTCTCTCCAATTTATCCACAACTTACAACACAAGATCTTACAACTTCCTCTGAAGCAACCAGTGCTGGCCACTGGTCAGAAATAGGATGTTCTGATCCAATCTGGTGATTCCCATCTGTATCAATAAGCGGGGAAACTTGCAGCCTTCCCTTCAGACAAGGAGACTTCCCATGAGCGTTGAAGCCAAATTCATCCCTGGTGTAGCTGCTGCCTGGAAGTCAATGAAGCTACACTAGGGATCTGCCTCCCAGTGGATGGGTTTGGGCAGGTGAGCATGGCTGAGAGCTGCAGGGAGTGCCGTGAGGACATGGGAAGGGTCTCTCCACCAGCCAGAAGGCAAGGCCCGCAGCCAGGGACAGCAGTAGAAAGCTTTGGAGGAGCCCCTGCCTTGGAAGGGAACTAGGAGGCCTGCAGGAGGGATGGCTCCTGTAGCCTGGGCAGGCTGGCATTGAAAGGAATTGGGACTCGTGCTTGCTCAGGAGTCCAGTGAGAGGGAGGAGGAAGCGGTACCCTCCCCCACCCCATCTCCTTTTGCCCTGTGCAAATGAACCCGTGAGGCCAAGGACTGGACTGGAAGGGGAACGGCAGCTTGGTGAGGGAGGCGTGTTGCTTGGCCCCAAGTGACGAGCATGAGGTTGCTGGACGTCTGCCTTGTTTGGTTGGCCTTTTGTTTAGCCCTCACTATCCAACAGTGTGTAGGGAGGTTCGGGGAGGGGGGGGGAGAGAGGGAAGGGATTCTGGTTTGCCCAGAGGGGCTAAATCACAGAGCAGCATGAGAATCTCACATCCAAAAGCAGGAGAGTGAAGTGCCACCAGAACATGAGACAGTGAGTTAACCATGTGGGGACACTGAGGAATGGCCAGGTCTGATGTGGGATGAGGAAAGATCCTGTTACACTCTCCTCTTCCCTTGAATCCCCCCAGTTCAACCCCCAGTGTGTCACATCTGTGCAACCCTGACGACTCTGGGGACCCGCAGTTATAATCAGTTCCTTTTATTGCAATATTTGTGCTCACTATTAACAGCCACAGTGGTTCAGGTTTGCTCCGGATCTGGCTTGCGCTAAGGAGGACAGAGTTGACAAGATGCCACCTGAAATCCAGCCTTGAGCCCATCCTGTAGGGTGACCTACCTCTTCCTACCCCCTTGCAAACCGCCCCTTTGGCAGGCCAGACAGGAGAGCTGGGCCAGGTGGTTTCCAGGAGCAGCCGTTGTGTTGGTAGAAGGAGTCAGTCCTCCCCTCTCCGGGATGCTGCTTGCAGGGGAGTGCTGCACTGAGCTTATGTGATTGCGAGGAGAGCTGAAAGCAGGTGGGGGAGGCAGCCATATAAGCTCCCGCTGTCCGGTTATATTGACGTTTGCAGTGTCCGAGTGCTCTCTGCCATGCTAGCAGCTAGCTCTGCCCTGGGGAAATAGCGTGGAGTCTGCTGTGTGCCCCTGCGGGGGCCAGGCAGCCGGTCCCTTCCAATCCAGGGCCGACCCGTCCGCCTTCAGTTTGTTAAAGCCATGACTCTCTCGATCCAGTCGATGTAGGGCGGGATCCGGGTGTAGATTCCGGGCTTCTTGTAGTTCCCACAGACCCGAGAGCCAGCAGCCACCACCCCTTCGGCAATCCCATTGCAAACGAGCGGCCCGCCGGAATCCCCCTGGAGAACCAAGTCACCGGATCAGCCTCAGGGTGGAGGTCAGTTTGCCACATGCCCCAGGTGGCACTGGACCTCTTCCGCCCCCTTCTGGGCCGGCTCAGCAGCCAATGGCTAGCGCTGGGAGCCAGGCTGTCTGCCAGCCTTCCTCTCCCATCAGCCCCACGCTGGGCGTGGCTGCCAATCACCACCCTTCCCAGAAGGGCGTCTGTTACATACACCTCCCCCCCCTTGCCTAAGATGGGGGGAAGGGGGAGAAGCTTACCCTGTGTCTCCCCATTATTTGTATTGCAGCAGCACCCAGAGGCTCCGGCTGAGATCAAGGCCCTATCGTGCCAGGTGTTGCACAGACCCGTAACATGACAGACCCTGCCCCAAGGAACCTACAGGCTAAATAGACAAGGGACAGGAGGGGAAATGGAGACACAGAAGAGCAGAGTGGTCGGCCCAGGCACACATGGCAGAGACAGGAATAGATCCCGAAAAGAGATGGGACATTTATAGGGATGTCAGGAATATTCCAATTTAATAGGTCATCATTAATTATGATGAACCTCAGGCTTCAGGGCTTGAACTAATCCCTACCTATTAGATCAGGCTGAGACTGAATGTGGGGAGGGGGAACAGATTGTCCCACATCTGCCTACAGTGGAGTTCTTGCACGTTCCCCCGAAGCAACTGGTTCTGGGCTGGCCCCTGTTATCCCCTGGGCTAGATGGACCTGGCAAGTCCTTTGTACCGAACTAGCTTTTTTGGTTCCCAATTCCATTCCCTATCCACTAGGCGGTGTGGTCTCTTGAGCCGTAACACAGTGCTTGGATCTAGCCCCTGTTAGTACCTCCCCACCCTTCCACCCCTCGCTGAACGGCTCCATTCATTTTGAACAGAAAACAAGTTACATGGAGTTAAAAAAATAACCAAACTCCCCGCTTCAAGGTAGCAAGAGATGTATAACTTGCGTGGCAGCTGCCTGCCGGGTAGCTTCCTGGAAGATAAGCTAGAAGTTTTATTAAGCACCTCTGCATGTTTGCTCACATGCTGATAATTATCTTGCATTCAGCTTTGCAAAGTGTTCATGGGCAGGGAGGGCAGCTTGGTCAAAATGCTACAGACTTGTGCTGCCACTCCCACCTGTGGCAAGTGGGTGTCTAATGCTCTGGAGTGAGGGCGGGCACATTCGACGCCCCCCTTGCACAGGTGGAATGGGTGAGGTGGGGCAGGACCTGATTCTAAGGGTTTGGCTACATGTGAAAATTAATCCAGGGTGTGAGTTTAAAGCAGATTAACTCCATGGGTGGATGCGCTTATTCTGGAATGAGAGTGCCTCGTGCAGAATCACCTTAATTCACTGGTGCATTAGTTTAATCCAGTGGATTAAACTAATTCAGAATAAGGGCACGGCTACCCTTGCAGATGTAGAGCGCTTTGAGTTTGTATTTTCCACTGCATGCATCCGATGAAGTGAGCTGTAGCTCACGAAAGCTTATGCTCAAATAAATTGGTTAGTCTCTAAGGTGCCACAAGTCCTCCTGTTCTTTTTGAGTTAAACCAGCTTTCGGAGAGCGCAGTGGGGAAAGCGCTGCAGTCTGTCCACACTGACCGCTGCAAGCGCACTGGCTTGGCCATATTTGTGGCACTTGCAGCAGCATTGGGAGCAGTGCATTATGGGCAGCTATCCCAGCATGCAAGTGACTGCAACGTGCTTTTCAAATGGGGGGGGGGGTGGAGCATGACAGGGAGTGTGTTGTGTGTATGTGGGGGGAGAGAGAGTGGGTTTTTGGGTGGCTGAGAGCATGTCAGCATGCTGTTTTGCAAGTTCAGACAGCAGCAGACCCCCCTCCCACCCCTCTCCCTCACACACACACACACACACACATAGCATTCCACACTAATGGTTGCTTTGTCTCAGAGCAGATAATCAGCCGGCAGTCAGAAACGGAGCTTTCAAAGGGCATATCTGCATTCCTGCAGAGATTCAAAAACAATGACAAGAGTGGCCACTTGTCTTAAGGGGATTATGGGATGTTTCCAGTGGCTGATCAGAGCGCAGTAATGCAACACCTCATTCACACTGGCTCCGCGGCACTCCAGCGGGGGCACAGCAAACGTTATTCCACTCGCCGAGGTGGAGTCAGAGCGCTCTACATGCCTTGCCAGTGTTGACGGGTAGTGAGCTAGTGAGCCCAGGGCTCCTTTATTGCGCTGTAACTCGCAAGTATAGCCAAGCCCTAAGTGTGTCCACACATGGAGTTATCAAAAATAGTTTACTCTGTAATAGCTCCTCGTGTGGACAAGCCCTAAAAGCAGGGGGAAAGGATCCAGGCTTTTAGTTATTCCCCTTATTCGTGTATCCAAGTGAGGCCGTTTGGTGAAGTGGCTTCGGATATAAGAGCCAGGAGATCTAGGGAGAAATCCTGGTCCCATTTACTTCAGTGGTGATCCAGCCACTGATTTGCAGTGTGACCAGTGGTAAGTATCTGTGCCTCAGGTTCCTCATCTGTAAAATGGGGCTAATAAGAGTGACCCACCTCCGGGGAGCATTTTGAGATCTATGGGATTGTACATCTGCTCCATACAAACTAGGACTTTGCTTCCTCTCTCTTTCCAACAGCAAGGGAGTGACATTCAGGGCCTGATTCTGCTCTCTTACACAGGTGCAAATCAGGCCTGACTCCAGCGTAAGAGGAGAATGAGACCCCAGAGCTCTGCAGGGAGACAGCAAAGGACCCAGGACTTCAGAAGTTACATGCTTCTGTATTTACCCCAGAGGGCAGGAGGACAGGTAGGCTACCAGAATAATCACACACACACTCCTGCACAGATACCCACGCATACATACACCTGTTCTCACCGATACACCCAAGCGCATAGACACAGCTCTGACCCCCCGCCCCTCCCGGCAAGAGGGCTGAGCCGAGGGATTTCCCCCAGAGATAGATACCGGGCAGGTGTCCTTCTTCCTGGAGTCGGTGCACATCATCTTCTCCGTGATGGTGTTGTCGTGGTGGATCCTTAGGTTGCATTTCTCCCGGCTGATCACCGGACGCTCCACCTGCCGCAATTTGTCAGGCAGCTTCCCGCTGTGGCTCATTTCACCCCAGCCGGCCACCTCGCACATGGTGTCAGCTGGGACATCCCTGTCTTGCATCTGGAAGGGCAGGATCTTCACATGCTCGTTGAGGAGCGCTTTCTCCTCTAGCTGATTTGGGAGGCAAAGAGGCAAGGGTCAGTCGGGGTGAGAGAGACAGACTCTGTATGTGTAACGCTGCCCCTGGCTGGGCTCTCTGCGGGGCTAAAACCTGGGACCTCTGGATCTTCCAGCAGGAGTCTCTCTACAGCTTGAGCTAAAAGGACCAGGAAGGGACTCACACCTGTACGGGGTGTGGCCACTAGAGGGGGACAGAGCTGCGCTACCTTAGCACAGGTTACGGGGCGATCACCTGGGAAATACCTCAACTAGGGGTGACGGGACACAGGCGCCGACTTTCATTTTTCCAGGTGGGTGCTCCACCCCCGCTCTGCCCCAAGGCCATGCCCCCACTCCACCCCACCCGAGGCCCCACCCTTGCTCTGCCTCTTCCTGCCCCCCCCTCCATCCCCTTCCCCCAGCACCTTGGCGGGTGGCTAATGGGTGCTGAGCACCCACTACTTACCCCGCCGTGGGGGCTCCAGCCCCAGAGCACCCACGGAGTCGGTGCCAATGTGACTGGAGTCCCTGCTGCAGCCGTGTGATCGCAGATGCTTTGTGGGGAGGGTTCTCCCTCCACTGGTGGGGAGAATGGGCCCTATCTTTGCCGGTGCCTTGGGCTTCATCCTCCTCTCCCTTGCCATGGGGTGAATCGGGGTGACCCCAGCCAGGGCTGTCTGTGGGGTATCAAGCCTGTTGGATCTCAGCCCAGTCAAGCAAGACTCAGCTGTGAAATCAACAGGAGTTCGGTGCCTTTGAGGAGCTGGGCCTGGCCCGAAGCCCACAGGAGTCAGTAGGAGTTTGTTCCCCGCATTGACTCCAGTGGGGTCTGGGAGGCGCCATTCCTGCAGCAGGGGATGGTGCCGGTGTGGGTCATGCGCACCTGGAGGAGAAGGAGGTCGTCGTCGTAGGTGTCCGTGCTGCTGCCGGGGTGGCCGATCTCCGCACGCACCCCATAAAGGCGCTTGTGCGGTTCTGGCTGCGAGAGAGAGTGGGCTCCCAGGAGGACCTGGAACGGCTTGCCGTGCCTGCAGTCGAGATGGAGACGGTAGCAGGAGGCGCTCTGCTCACCCACAGCACTGAGCTGCAAGACCTTTCCGCTCCCTCCCGGCTGTACAGTTCACCCCGATGGACAGCGATCGCCAGTAGTCAACCTCTGCCTTTCCCCAGCCATGGAGAGTCAGCCCAGACTACCCTGCCTGTGGGCCCAGCCCCAGCTAGGAAGGAACATGTGCTCCTTGGGTGACAGGGGAATCCAGCCTCGGTGCTTGTTGGGCCCTGGGCTTTCCCTTCATAGTGATCCTCAAACGATCCTAACCCGGGGCTGGAGCCATTGAAATCAACGACAAACCTCCACTGACTGCGATGGGAGTAAGATCTGGGCCGTGCTCATCACTCCAGAGACTCCTGTATCCCCTGAAATAAGTACTGGGGTCTGTGGTAGAACCAGCTGGCCCCAGCCTCCATGCCCTGCTCTTCTCCCGCCCCGCGCTCCTGCCCCATCAGATGCGAAGGCCGGTACTCACTTGTCTTCCAGGCAGTGAGCTGCACTCAGCACCCACTGCTCGGCGATCAGGAACCCGCCACACACATGCTTCCCATCCACCTGCAGGGAAGCCATGTAGGGTTTCAGGTGGGGAGGAGCTTCGTAGCCCCCGAGAATACGACCCCTGGGGCTACCCACTGATGGGAGGAGAAATAGAACATTAGCCACTGAACCTGCTCAGCCCAGCCTTCCTTTCCTGTGGAGCATCTCCCTGAGTGTTAACGGGAGCTGGGTGAGCACATCCAGAGCAGGGCATCTAGCTAAAGGACGTATCGAGCCCTCATCCCCAAGGGGGTCTGAGCACCTTCTCTTCTGATGGATGAGAAACAAGAATTCTGTTTTGTGGACGGTTTGTGTTCTCCAGCGAGACCTTTAGAGGCCCACCTCAGAGCAGCCAGCTGGTTGGGGCGCTCCCCTGGGGTGGGAGAGAGACAGATTTGAGACCCTCCTCTGCCTGATTCAGTTCCAAGGGTGCGTTTGCCTTCAAACACAAGGAGGGAGAACTGCAGGGCAGACAGGCTGGACCTTCAGCAAGCGGTCAGATGTAACGCATCTGTATCGTCACATACGAGTCTCTCTTGCAACGGGCTGAAGTTGGTCCATGATGAGTCAACTGGTTTCTATCACCTGCCCCCTGGCTTCAGACTGCCTGTGCAAATAATTTTGCCTGGCCTCACAGTGCAGCCAGTTGGATTGTGTCTGCAGAGCTCTGCTGGCTGGTTGGACAATCATCGATTTTTTTTTCCTGGACCTTTGAAAATCTCTCTTCCCTTCAGCAACTTGAAGAAGAAGAAACTAAAAAGAAAGCCCCACGTACAAATCATAAGATGCTTCCAGGTGTTTCAGATGAAGATTTTTCCGAATGTTCTGCAGCAGTGGATCGACTGCATGCTTGGGAGAATAGCAGGAGGCCTTAGTCAATATTCACCAATGGCCAGTACCTGCAGTTGCAAAGAATCTGCCAATGGAAAGATCCGCACTTGATTCTAGTACATGATCCCAACTCAGCGACCTAGAAGAATCTGAATAGTGCCCCCCCAGTCCGCCGCATCTCAGTCCTTGGTATGGAGGAAACCTCAGCTGTAGATCCATCCGGCAACAGTCACCATGGTATCCTAATCCAAGGGGAGGCCATGTTGACTAGTGGCTAGCACAATGGGCTGGGACTCAGGAGACGCAAGTTCTGCCACTGATCTGCTGGGTGACCATGGATAAGTCACTTCCCTTCTCTGTGCCTCGCTTTCCCCCTATGTAAAATGGACCCTTCCTTTGGAAAGTGCTTTGAGATCCACAGGTGAAAAGCACTTGGGATTATTATTATTAGCATCATCCTACTTATACCCCAAGATGCTTTTTGGTTTCCAGGAAATCAGGTTCTATTGCAGCAAAAAAAACAGGGCAAGCGAGTTGATTCCACACCCAAACTTTTCTGTTATCAGTTCCACCACCCTCATCTCTCCCCAGATGGGCAGGGTATTTAACCCTCCTTCCCCCACCCACTCACAGTTTTGCCCCAGCAGAAATAAGTTTTGTTCTAAGCCTCCCTCAGTTTACCCGCATTGTCTCAAACTGCCTCCCCTCTCCACCCTCTGCTCAGTGCAGGACTCCCTGGCTGAGTATCTCTGGCCTGTGCTGTGCAGGAGGTCAGATGATTTCTTTTGGCCTGAAAAACTAGCTGCAGCTGGCGCCCTCTGGGAGTTGTGTCCTGAGAAGCCACCCTAGCTTATGGGTTTAGGCGTTTGGGAGATAGAGACTGATGAAGCTGCATTGTCTATAAGTATGAGACAGGGATCTAATCCAGCTTCTGACCCAGATTCGCTGTGTGAGCTAGGCCAAAGCAGTCCACCTCTCTATGCCTCAGTTTCCCTGTCATGATGGGGGTCGTGAAGTGGAATTGTGTATAGATAAGATTAGATAGAGGGTTAGTAAAGTGATTTGAGATCCTCAGCTAGAAGGGGCTAGAGAAAGCGGTGAAATGTACTAGGTTCCCCTAGGCCTGCTGCTGAGGCTATAAAGTTAAAGCTCATGTATGTGGCAAGGAAGCACAGATATCTAACTGCTTCACTTATTGTGTCAATTCTTAGCTAGGCATGCCCTGTGGTATCCACCTCACATGCAGTCCCAGTCTCTGCCATGCACAGATGAGTCAGAAAAGAGAACAGGGAGTATGGGAAGGATCAGAGAACGGATGTACTCACCACACACCGAGATGCCCAGCAAAACAACCAGAGCTAGGAAGGGCGAAAGGTGACCCATGCTGGCTACAGAGACGCAGGCCGATCTGTCTCTAATTCAGGGGATGTGTCTTGTCCGGATAGAGGCAGCTCTGCTAGGAGTGAGAGCAGAGACCTCCTTTTTATAACAGAGCTTTGGGGGTGGGGGATGAAGGGGGAAAAAGGAGATTTCCAGGAAAGAGAGAGCTGGGAGGAAATATGCAACAGCTGTTGAGCTCTCAGCCTGGAATGGCCTTTTGGTTGTAGCAGTGCCAGGGGCTAGGGAGAATCTCATGATTTCTCAACACAAACAGCCCAGGGAGGACGCAGCCCATCCCAGCTGCTGAACCTGGCATCCCTGGAAGGGGATTTCTGCATTGTTTGTTTGCTCTTCAAACCCGAAAGGGCAAGCACAGTTCATTCCCCAACTGCTCATGTTTGAAGAACAAACAATGCAAAAATCCCCTTCCCTGCCCTCCCTGTTTCTGCAAAACTGAATGGGCCATTGAGTGAACTTCCTCCTTAGCAAAGCTCCCTCCAGGATAAGCCAAGTCACTGGAGGAACTGCTGCAACCTGATTCCTCTCTCTGCCACCTGTGCTGGGGAGGAAGCCAGGACTTTGGTCTCCAGGGCTGCAAGCCAGCACCTGTTTTTGCCCCTGTTAAATTCAGTGGTGGGGTTATTGCACCCCTCTGATAGCTCTAGACATGGGGCAAGGCCGGGAGACAGAACTTTAGCCAAGGGAAGGGGGTTTAGGGGAGGCATTGTCTGAGATCTCAGGGAAGCTGCCCTCTGGCTAGTAGGGTAAGTGGCCAAGTGACACTGGTAAATAATCTGGAATGTAACTGGCCAGAAAGAAAGGTAAAGATCTGGTGTGAGTGAAAGGGAGAAAGTGTGTGTGTGTTCAGAATGTTTGTAAGAATACAGACATTGACATCATGTTTTAGAGAATGTCACGATTTAGGGCCAGGTTCCCAAAGGGGTTTAGGCCTAAAATGAAGCTAGGTGCCCGGGCCTGCATTCTCACAGGTGTTTGGGCCCCTAGCACCCATTTATTTCAATGGAAATTAGGCACCTAAATACCTTTGACAATCTGGGCTCTAGTAACTTCCAATGGGAGTTAGGCACCTGCCCCACTGTAAACCCCACTAGGCACCTATCTGCATCTTTAGGCACTTAAATACCTTGGTAAATCTGGCCTTTACGTGTCCCTCATGGTCGCCTCCATCAGTATTCCCCAGAGCCGAGTCCGTGCGTGTGTGGGACCCAAACTCTCATGACTTGGGGTACTCAGCTCTAAAATTAAAATCTGAAGATAAAACTGCCCTTGGAGCAATAGATTTAGAAGCAAACGGAGCAATTTAAAGGGTCCCGGCCCAGGGGCAGTGGGTGCTGTCAACAGAGAGGCATCAGCGGCTGCTGTAATGGGGCCTCAGTTTCCTAGGGAGCTGGACTGCAGCACCCGAAAGGACCTTGGATGATTTTTATCACAAGGCAAGTGACTCCTGCAGTACTGGCATGTCTCGCTGTAGAAGGATGGCCAGTGGAGAGGAATCTGATGTGTCTGGCAGAGATAACAAAGAATGAAATATCCTGCGAGGGAAATGCAGAGGTGCTAAGCCAGAGAGTGGAAGGCCAAGCCCCTGCCTGCTGGAGTGATCAGCGGAATGAATCAGTGTTTGCCACGCAGACCGCAGAGGGGTGTGGTGCAGCCTCCCATGTGAGCTCGTCCAAGTTCGGGATCCAGCACTCCTTGCTCAAGAGGCCTCCTCTGGTGCAAACTGCAGCCCCTCTGCAGCTGCATGGGTCCGAGAGTTCAGATGAAGTGGAACCACAAGGACCCAAGTCAGAGCTGGTCAGCCCACCCCAGGGGGTAGGGGGCTTGTCTGGGACTGGAGAGACCCAGGGGCAAGTCCCGTCTCTGTTCTCAGACTTCCTAGGTGACCTTGGGCAAGTCACTTAGTCTTTCGGTGCCACAGTTCCCCAAATATAAACGATGGGAGGCTAGCCCTGCTCTACCACACAGGGATGTTGTGAGGGCCGGAGAAATACTCCAGAGCCCGGGATCTCACAACCTTTTTCTTTCTGAGCTTCCCCCCCCCCCCGGCTATAAAAACTCCACGGCCCCCCTGTGCCACAATAGCTGGTTTTCTGCATATAAAAGCCAGGGCCGGTGTTAGGGGGTAGCAAGCAGGGCCACTGCCTGGTGCCCATGCCAAACCTCCCCCACACGAAGCTACACTGCTCAGACTTTGGCTTCAGCCCTGGGTGGTGGGGCTTCAGCCCCATGCAGTGGGGCTTCAGCTTTCTACCCTGGGCCCCAGCAAGTCTAAAGCTGACCCTGCGTGGCGGCCCCCCTTGAAACCTGCCCGCACCCCTGGTTGAGAACCACTGCTCTTGAGAGAGGGGAAAGGGAGGGAGCCTAGTGGTTTTAGATCATGCCCATGACCGTAGTATCGGAGCGCCTTCCAGTGGTGCAGTAAGCACTGTGACGAATGCCTGTCACCTGGTGTGTGTTCTCTCCTCCTCTCTCAGGCCGGTTGCTGTGCGGTGCCAAGGACCGTGATGATTTCGGGGGGGCCTACGTTTATCACAGCGGCAGGGATCCGTGGTACATGGCAAGCCCATGAGATCCACCAGAAGCATGGAAGAGAGCGTGCGGAGGGGCAGAGAGCGTGGTAAAGAAATGAGCTGGGTTAGGGGAATCTTATTCTCCTGCCATTCTCATCTGTACCACTAGGTGGGGCTAACACCTCGGTTCCCATGCCAGGCTTGATTCATAGCATATCAGGGTTGGAAGGGACCTCAGGAGGACATCTAGTCCAACCCCCTGCTCAAAGCAGGGCAATCCCCAATTTTTGCCCCACATCCCTAAATGGCTCCCTCAAGACTTGAACTCGCAACCCTGGGTTTAGCAGGCCAATGCTCAAACCACTCAGCTATCCTTCCCCCCAAAACTAGGTTTGACTAATGCTTCAGAAGGGGCGCAGAGTCACTCCCCAAAGAGGGGACACATTCCACGCATCCCTGCTGTGTTTTCATCCCCTTTATCCTGGGGGGAGGGACGGCTGGCGTCTTGGCCGTAGTTCTGAAATTCCGGGGGTTGCGCCAGAATCCTGTCAAAGAGGCCAACAGCCCCACATTTTAGACTTTGCCTGGATGAGCTTGGAGAGAGAGAGAAACCACCAGCCCGATGGTTTCAGTGACAAGAAAATTAATTCAAACACAATCCAGTAGAAACAACTGTTTGTAAACGAACAGGAAGAGCTTGCAACCCAAATATTGGAGCTGGGTCGGCTTCCGTTTCAGCCTGGCCTCACCTGAGAGCAGACCAGTGAAACCTGCTTCACACTTGGATGTAAGACGCTCTCGTTACTATATTACATTTCTAGAGTACCTTTCATGTAAGGATTTCAAAGTACTCTGCAGAGGAGGGTGAGTGTTATTATTACCTTCTTTATAGGGAGGGAAACTGAGGCAGGGAGAGGTGAATGAAGTACCTTGCCCAACATCACACAGCAAGTGAAAGGCAGAGACAGGAAGAGAAGAGAACCCAGGCGTCCTGACTTGCAGTCCAGCACCTTATCTTCCTGTCCATCTGCCTTTTATGAAGAGTTTGGCAGATGTTTGTAAGCGGTCCACCTCCTTGGTATCTAGATACAGTACCAGAAGTGGTTCTGATCTCGGATCAATTTTAGACAACCTCCCCCTAGCCTGTTTAAATAAGACATCAGAGCCTTTATAGTGAGGTCAGGAGCTCCTGAACAGCCAATTTAAGCCAAGGACAGACATTGTTCCTCTTATGAGACTGTTTCAAGCCCTGGAGACAAACGTGTGGCCAAACCTGAGCCTGCGGCTCTCACTAGCACTTCACCCAGTGAGAGCCCTTTGTAGATTTCATGGGGGTAATTTAGTGCACGTTTTTGACATAGGGATTCATTAGGAAATGTATCACATTTCCTCTCCTTCCACAGCTGCCACCCGCGTTGGCCTTCTCGTTCAAATAAAGTGCACGTGGGAAGGTGAGGGGGATGTACGGTAAGTTTCACGCCCAGAGACTGAGGATGAAAGAGAGCTATGGGACTTTAATAAAAGCCTCCCACCGGCTCTGATGTGTATCTGTGTGAGAGAGAGATTCCCAGAATTGGGCTGCTCAAAGAGGAAGGATGGAGTTGTTCTATTTTTCCCCAAGGGTGAATATAAAGGGAACCTGGCCCTTTGCTCATTGATGGTTGTGTAATACAGGAGGAAATCTGCTGAAGTCAGTTTCAGTGCGAGTTTAGGATCACGCCTGCTCTGTGCACTGAAGTTCCTATAAAGGTTATGAGCCAGATCCTGATAGTATAAAGTAGCTGTGAAGCTATGGGATCTGGCCTCCTGAGGATTCCCCCTCGCCATGACGGTCCTTCTGGGGTGCAGAGCCCCCATGCATTATTCTCCCTTGCTGCTCCTCCTTCGCACCCCCCCAGCATAGGGGGAGTTCCCAGGAGACAAGGGGCATGGCTGGGGCAATCCCTATGCTGCCAAAACAGCCCCTTGAGATTATGAGTGTAAATTGGAGCAGCTCTGAACTTGCTTTAATATATGCTGGCAATTAGACAGGCCCCAAATCAGGGAGCTCAAAGCTGGCTTAAAGCCACCTTTACCCATTCGCCTTTGGGTTGTGTACAGCTCAGCCTGGCCAAAAGACTGGGGGTGGGAGAGAGACTGTGGCTCGGATTAGCTTTGAGGATCTAGGCCTGTCTGTTTGCTATCCCGCGATAAAGCTGAGGGTGGAGTGCTGGGTTTGTTCCTTACATAAGCGGAGGTGACAGCAGTATTCTTTAGAAACCTTCCCTATATACAGAAAGCCTCTCTGGTTTGCCTGGTTTACCTGGGTGAGTATTGTGCTAATTTCCCTAGGGTGGAGGCTGTGATGCCAATGCTGGATCAAGGGAAAGAGCTTAATAATAATAATAAAAAGAAAAGGAGGACTTGTGGCACCTTAGAGACTAACCAATTTATTTGAGCATCAGCTTTCGTGAGCTACAGCTCACTTCATCGGATGCATACTGTGGAAAACACAGAAGATGTTCTTATACATACAAACCATGAAAAAATGGGTGTTTACCACTACAAAAGGTTTTCTCTCCTCCCA